CCCAGAGGTCTCGTTTAAGGCGGGGATTGTTCCCAGGTCATAACCTGGGGAAGGCCACTGTGGGCAATCCGTTTGGGCCGTCCGATGAGACGAAGGCTGTTTAGGGTCCTTTGCTTGGCTGTGAGCCTTCTGGGGGTGGTGCCGGTGGGGATGTAGGTCTGAACAGCGTTGCTGTAGAGTCTCGTGCTGCGGCCGCGGAGGTGCCTCCGTCTTCTGCGATCGATGCGCTTCCCAGCTTGTCATCCCAACTTATTGTTGCAACATTGCACGGTTTCGCTACACCCCAGGCAGGCGCTTGTTGCTTGCGAGAGCGACCAACGCCGTCGGGAGGTCGATGCTGCTGATTGGGATGAGGAGGATAGCATCGGCTAGCCTCTTGCGTTTGGCCAGTGTGCCAGGGGGGGGAAAAGACCCACCCCGCGCCATCAGGGCCCTCAGGACCTCCTCCTCCACCTCCTGCTCCTCCACCTCCTGCTCCTCCTCCTCCTCCTCCTCCTCCTCCTCCTCCTCCTCCTCCTCCTCCTACCTGTGTCGGACGGGCCCGTCCGGCCTCGTGCCCAGGAGCGGTGCACCCGGCCAGGACAGGAGGGCGGCAGCGCGCACCCGATCCTCCGCTCCCTGGCGGGCACGGCCCGGATCGGCGCGGGCGGTGGCGACGCCCGTCCGCGGTGGGAGGCTCAGGTTGCGAGCGGCAGGGGCGGAGGAGGGCGTAAAAAGACGCGAAGATCGGGACAACATCGGATCGGGATAACTCGAAATCTATGAGAATCGTTGGGTTTGGAGGATGTATTGGACGCCGCGGCCGCCTCAGAGCGTTCCGGAACGCTCTGAGAGCGCTCCGGAACGCTTTGGAGCGATTTATCCCGATCCTAGCCCTGTTTTAGGGCGGAGGGAGGAGGACGGCGTGAGGAAGAAGTAGAACGGTGAGGGAGTCACCGGCGAACATAAAGTCATGGTAATGAGTGAGCGCGCATTCTTGAAACAGATGATTCAAAAAGCGATGCTTCACGAAAGCGAGAAGCGGATGTATTAAATTGCGCCGCCGGATCAAAACAATACAATATTTCATTTAGAAAATACAAAAAATTGGTTTACTAAATTCAAAGACGGATTTTCGAAATCCGGTGCCGTTTTTCTAAATCTTAGATTTTATCATTACCATGACCAGAGTAGTTCGGTCAGGGAGGGGGATTGCCAATCTCGCTGTAGGGTACCAAAACCATCTTCATGGACGAGGTGGCCAGAGAAGTACGCAGCACCCCGCAATTGCGGATAAGAGTGAGAGGGCGGCGGGAACGCTTGCAGTCTGCGAGGTTCTGAAAACGCCCGCCGCGGGCGCCCCTCTTCAACAAACCATTTTGAAACATGCAACAAGCCCGCCGCAGGCGCCGATTCTTCGTTAAAGCAATGTGGGTGGGTCGCGGGGTGGGTCGGGGGTGGGTCGCGGGTTTCTAGAGAGGGGGTCGCGGGGTGGGTGTCCGTCGCGCACTCACTCAAGTTGAGTCCTAAGCATCGAAATTACCCACTCTTCTTCTCTCGTCTGCCGGCGGCGCTAATTTCACGGCGGTGGGTGCGGGTGTGTCGCGGGCGGGTGCAGGTTGTGTCCGCGGGCCCTGGTGTCGGGTGACGACGCCAAACAACAAAAATACAGCAACAACAACAGCAATAACAATAAACAACAAAACAACTAAAACTACCACATACAACTACAACTTACAATACTACACAACGATAATTTTACTTATGTTCGCCCTTATATGCTCGAGGGTCCAATAACGCGTATTTCCCAAACCCTCGATACCCGCCCTCTTCGTCTTCGATCGAACCCCTTTTGGGGGGTATACCTTTCTTCCCTGCAGGCAGGGCCCCGGCAAGCGGCGGGGCGGCCGCGGACCGTCGGCCTGGCCAGCGGCAGCGCTGATCGGCGGGGCGGCCGCGGACCGTCGACCCAACCCCAAGAGGGACGGACAGGGGGGGGGGAACCACGATCACGACAAACGACAACGACGGACGACGACGCGACGACGAAGAACGACGACGACGACGACGTCGAAGACGACGCGACGACGACGGTACGGCGACGCCGAGCGAAAGCGAGAGCGAGAGAGAGGGACAGCAGGGGCCACGAGGGCGCGGAAGTAGGCCACGAAGGGCGGACAGCGGGGAAACGAAGGGAATGGCGTATGGGGCCACGAGGAGCGCGAACGAGCGGGGCCACGAAGTGCAGATTAAGTGCGGGGCCACAGAAAGGCAACCATTGGGGCCATGAGGTTAGCAATGGGCCATGTAGGACAGTAAGGGGGAACAAAAAAAAAAAAACAACAAAAATTGCGACAGCGGGGCCACGAAGGGCGTGCACATGGGGCCACAACGGGCGCGACTCCTGGGTGCCTGGGTGTCGGGAGCGCGGCGCTTGGGCTAATTGCACGACATTCCAACGCAAGGCCATTCTTCAGTAAGTTGCAAGCAAGTCTCCAAAGAGAGCGCGACTCCAGAGCGCCGGGATAGCGATTCCTGAATAAATTGTAAGGAAGTCCCAAGCGAGAGCGCGATTTCTGGATAAAATGCGAGGATGTCTCGGGCGGGAGCGGGGGCTAAATTGCAAGGAAGTATCAGGCGGGAGCCGTAGTTGTTGTAATCTGGGGGCCAGGGGACCAGTTTGAGCAGGAAGACTTCGCCTGTCAAAAAACAGGGTGCGAGCGTCGAGGGGCACGTTTTGATCGAGAAAACACAGTATGCACCAGCGTGGGGGGATCAACACTAATTATTCTTCAGAAGTGCGAATTCAACGACAACAACGACAACAACAACAACAACAACAACGACGACGACGACGACGACGACAACAACAATAATCCGCATCGCGGAGTCCTACTTCAGCCAACCCGGGGACAGTGAATGACCGTTCGGCCCCCTTACTCGGATTTTGTAAGATTCTGCGAGGCTCAGCGCCAAGCGATCCCGCGGACCACACGGTGCCCAGCGGCGCAGCGGCCGCCGCAGCCGTGAGCTCCTGGGAGGTCCAGCGGAATGACGCCGTACTCCTCCCTGGGTGCTCCCTCCCTCGCCTCCCCGGGCCCTCTTCGCCACACCAGAGCTCCGCCTCCCTGAGCTCCCAAGTCACGAACGAACAACACACACCCATACCCATAGGGGGGTCGTTGGGAAGAGGACTGGCTATGGGTATGGGTGCGGGTTGTCGGACCCTGGGGAACGCTCCCGTTCGAGCGGGGCCCCCATTCGACAACACGCACCCATAGCCCTCTCCGACCCCCCTGTGGGTATGGGTGTGTATTGTTGGTTCGTCACCAACTGCGCAGCCGTCGCCACCTTCGTGAGCTCCCAGGAGATCCCGCGCAGCGCGGTCGGTTGCCGGCCTTGCCTTCGCTTGCGCCCGGTGCTCTCGCCCCGCCCTGCCGCAGCAGCAGGGTTCGGGGCGGGCGCCAGGCGCTGGGTCGGTTCGGTCGGCTGTCGGTTTTGTTTTCCTGAAGTCGTGAGAATGGGATGTTCCAAGATCCCCTGGATCCCCGTATACTCCACGCGAGCCGCAGAGACGGGCCGCGGGATCTGCCAGAAATCCCGGAGCGCAATCCTGAGCCAGTCGCACCATGGCGTGAGCGTCACCATCCTCCCAGTTCCGGCCGTGGGCGTACGCGCTCGCTTCCGCCTCGGGAGGTCCCTGGGCTCCAGGTCCGCGCGTCCGAGGCCAGCCGGCCACCGGGAGGGCCGCGGGCCCTGCCGCGGAAGGCGGGCTGCGGAGGCGCTCCTGGGCTCCTGCGTCCCCGGGGGGGGGCGAGGGGCCGCCGCTCGGCAGAGACGGGTGCACAGCAGGAGGGGTCGTGGGGAAGCCTTGCGGGCAGGCGCTGCTTCCTGCCACACACGCGTTTCTGAGGGGGGAGTCGTGGTGGGGATCTTGTCGGCTCACCGGACGGGGGAACGGCTGCGTACAACGTTGATGTCCTCCGAAATTGCAGTCTAAGCAGTAGCGGAGTGGATGTTTACCCAGTTACTCACGAATTCATGGAAGTCGTATTGCAGGGTCGTGCCTATTGTTCGACGTCGCTCTGCGCTCCTTCCCACTAGATTTCCTTCTCACATTTCTCTACCCCGTCGTCATCCAGTCTTGCCGAGACTTCTTCTTTCTCGTGTGTTTCAGCTCGACTCCGACTGCTATGCACCCTCGTCCTTCGCTATCCGAATATGTTGTAGCTTAGGCTGTGTGCATGTTTGTGAGAGTTCGTTCCAGGTGTGAGGATGGACGCCACGCCAAAAAATGTGTGTGTGCTTGTTCGGATTGTGTGGGCGGGTGAGTAGGTGGGGGAGGGTGTGTCTGTGTGTGTGTGTCTGTGTGTGTGTCTGTGTGTGTGGAGTGTTCTACGCCGCGCCGCTGAACGCATGACCGCGACGCCAAAAAGAAGTGTGTGCCTGTGCGTGTGCGCGCGCAGCCAGCCTGGCGGTGTTTGCTCGCGCTCATCCCGCTTTGGCGGCTCCTGCTGGGGGGCGGGCCTGCGGGCCTGGCTCGGGCGCTGCTCGGCAGCGTCGGCACCTCTTCCCTCCCCCTCCAGGAGGAGGAGGAGGCGGAGGAGGAGGAGGAGGAGGAGGAGGAGGCGGAGGAGGAGGAGGAGGAGCCCTCTTTGCCGCCCGCGGTGCTCCCGCGTCTCTCGTGCTCGGCCCGCGTTCACCATTGGCGCGCCCTTGCGGCCGGGACGCCTCCAGCTTTGGTGCGGCGCCCACCCTGCGGTTCCACGGCCGCGTTTCGGCCTGCCTCGGTCGCCGCTCTCGGCAGCTTCCGCTCCCGCCCCCCTCCCCCCCTGTTCCCGCTTCCCTCTTGCTGCCGCCGCTCGTGTCTTGGCATCGCTCGGCGAGCCATCGAGGATCATCCTGGACCATCGAGCAAAAAAAACACGCACGGAACAGAAAAATGAACGGGAAATAGACGTCCGAGCGACGGCAAGGTGATCGCCGTTGGCACACGGGTTCTCGCTTCCCTTCCGCTCCACCTCCTTGCTGCCTGCACGCAGCCTGTCTGCAGGCCTCGCCTTGGCGTGGTTCGTCCCGGGATTGTCAGTCGAGCGCACGTCTCCACACGAGGTGGCCAGTTCGTTGCGAACGAGGCCCGCAGCCGTGTCATCGGTGATTGTTGTCACCGTCGCGTCGGAGGAACAAGCGTGCGTGTACGCGCGGGCGTCGAGCCGCGCTGTCAGAACGGTACGCGTGTGGGCGCGAGCCGTGCGCGTGGACGTACGTACGCGCGCTGTGATAAAGAGCGGGTTCCACTCGGTGCCAGAAACTGGTTCGCCAATGTAGCCGACGAGCCGTGCAGCAACGTTGAAGCAGCTCGTCTGGTTGAGGGCTAGCGAGACGAAGTGGTTCTGCGCTCGCGCATGTGGCATGTACATTGCATGCCTTTCCTGATTGGTCTTCCTCTCTCATGACTTCCCAGAATGCTTGTCTTCTTCGTTTTCTTGTGAGTTCTTTCATGGGCGCCCCTCGCAGGGATGGTCCATCGTCACGTGGATCCTCATGGGTCTCACCGTGGTATCTTTCTGCGCATGTTGCTGCGTGTCCAAGAGGTGCGAGGGGCAAACGGGGCGCAAGCATGCGACTAGCACTTGTATGGCCAACGACCCCTGCGGGACGGTGAACCCTGGACGATAGCAGCAAGAGTCGACGGGCGCGCGGGTCGCGAGACCAGCGTGCCGAATTTGCGGCGGAGCGTGCCAGGAGGAGGCACAGAGAGGAGCCAGCTAAGAAAGACCGGTTTCAGCATTTGCCCAGATAGTTGACCAAGAGCTCGAGATGCGAGAGGGACCGGGGGTTTGGTGGCGTTGGGACGTTCACGTCCTATTTGAAAGGCTGCACCCTGTGCCGCCAGGCCCCTCAGGCGGAATCAGCGTTTGGAATCTCCTGATACAAGTTTGAGGCGTTTGCTGGAGGTTTGTTGGGCTCTCCAGGGGCCTTTGGGGGGCATCTTGGGGCCTCGGGGTGCTGTCTTGGAAACTCTCGGGGCCACATGGGGTACGTCCTTGCCCCATCTTTGGTGATAGTGATGATGGTGGCGTCTTGAGGCTGCCTTGGCGCCATACATTTTGGGCGATGTGGTGAAGGCCTTGCGGCTGGTGCCGCCGACACTGTATGCGGGGCGGACGGGGAGATGGAACAGGCGGACGAGGAGGAGGGAGGGGGGTCTTTTTGGGAGCCTCCTGGGGGCCTCTTAGGTTTTCTGGAGCCTCCATGGGGCCTCTTGGGAGCTTCCTGGGAGCCTCGTGGGTCTTCCTTGGGGCCTCTTGGTGGCCTCTAGGGGCCTCTTGGGGGCCGCTTGGAGCTTCCTGGGAGGCTCCTCAGGTCGGAGGTTCCAAAGCTGGTTCTCTTCGGGCGTCTCTGGAGCCTCTTGTGCCGCTTTTGGTCCGCTTGGGTATGTTTTGAGACCCACAGACCCCCAGGGAGGATGCGTATCTGCCCCCCTCCCACACCCCCCGTACTCCCCCCGACCCCCCCCCGACGGGGAGGGGATCAAAGGGAAGGTTCTTACCCTCGACCATATAACGAATTGGGCAGATTTTTTCGAGCTGGCAGGCTTGATGGGCAGGGCGCAGGAACGGTGGAAAACGGGGAAACACGACTCGAACGGAAAGCCCCTCCCACACGCCCATGGTGGCGTCTTGAGGCTACATTTGTAACATATTACATGTTGGGCGATCGGCGATATTTGAGTTTTCTGGCGGCCTCTGGGAGTTGCTGTGGAGCCTTATTGGAATGTCCTCAGAAGAAAACAGGCGATTGATAGAACAAATATTGACGTTTCGCGTATCCCCACCAGTGCGTTCTCTGGCATCCGGCTATGCCAGCGACATCGGCCCCTTCCTCTGGTAGGATTTGTCGCTCGCGGACGCCAACGACGCCCTGCCCTTCTGCGGAGTTCAGGTGGTGCACACCTGCCCGCAGTCTCCCCCAGGCGGGGCCTCTGAACGCCGGTGGGTAGTGCCGCCGTGGTCCCACGCGACGTCCCCCCCGTCCACGGACGCAAGGAAGTTGCCACTCGGGACTCACGACAAGACCACTGACGCCTGGTTCAGTGACGACCTGTCTTCGAGCACATGAGGTGCTCTGTGAGTGAGGTTCCCTTTGCCCCCCTGTCCCTCTCTCCCCCTTTTCCCGCCCCTCTCTCCCCCACCCCTTTTCCTGCGCCTGCCTGCCTCTGCCTCGCCTGTCCGCGTTTGGCGGTACACCTTCTGGGGCCCCGTGCTGCCCGCAGTGTCTCTGCCTTAGCGCCGGCCCGTGCCGTGGAAGCTGGCGCCATTGTGCGACCTTCCGCCGGCCTTCGCGTCTGCTTCCTAATTAGGTTCATTTTGTTCCTCGCACGTGCATTCCGGCGTTGGCCTTTGGCTTCCGCTGGCAATTATCTTGCTCGCCGCCCCAAGCTTGTTCGACCCGCTCTCTGGAATCGTCCTTGGAGCCGCCGATCAAAAGTACCCCCACCAGCTCGAGCAGAATAGATGCCCATGAAAGTTATCGGGAGAAGAGGTGCAGAGACACATACAGTGGAACAGAGTGGACAACGAGGGCGAACTGAGAGAGAGATCTCTGGAAACGAGGAGGGGGCACTAGAGGGCGTCGTCGGGCAACCAATGGATCCTGCGTGGGCGAGGAGAAGGAGGACGAGGAAGAGAACTAGGAGAATGAGAGGGACGACGACGACGAGGAGGAAGGGGAGGCAACAGTAGGAGGAGGGAGGAGGAGGAGGAGGAGGAGGAGGAGGAGGAGGAGGAGGAGGAAGAGGGAGGGAAGGACGAAAGGAAAGGAGGAGGAGGAGAGAATAAAGAGGACTGTACCATGGCGGATCTTTCGTTGTGGATTTCGTTAAAAGGATTCTTGGAGCCATATCGGGGCCTTTTTTGGACCATCTCGGGGTTCTTTGGGGCTCGTTTGGGGCCCCTTTGGGGCTCTTTTGGATTTCTTGGGGTCGCCTTGGGGCTCTATTGGGGCTCTTGTGGCCTTATTGGCGCCCTTTTGGAACTCTTTTGGGGTCATTTTCGGGGCCTCGACATTGCCTCACGGGGCCCTCTCGGAACGATCTTGGGCGCTCTTGGGGCCGTATTGGTGCCCTTTGGGGCCCCTCTCGGGCCTCTTTTGGGCCATCCTGGGACCATGGTGAGGCCTCAGAGACCTATCGGAAGCGACAGGGCGCGAGCGCCACAAAACACTGAAAAACAGTATTGTTGCACGCTTGTGGCTTCGTGTGCCGGTGCTGGGGGGTCCGAGAGCGCTTTTAACCTTCGCGTGGCCCTCTTGGGAGCCTCTTGGACACGCGTCGGAAGCCATCCTGAGCCACTCTGAAGGCCGCCTCGAGGCGCCGGGGGCCTTCTTGGAGCCATCTCGGGCGCTCTGACCGCTCGGGGCCCGCCCCACCCCGTCCACGCCCGCCAAAGGGGGTTCCCGGTTCCCCATAGGGCGGGTGAACCCTTCCAGTCAGCACCAGGCCACGGCACCCGGACGCCCGGGTTTCCCTCAGGACGACGCTTGTGAGGCCGAAGGTGGGCGTCAGGACCGCCCAGGCAAGGTGGAGGCATATCATCACCGAGCGCGCTGCATTACTCGCAAAGTGCCTACTCGCATATGCCCGAGCAAAAATTTTGCGAAGGCCTTACGGCCGGTGCCGCCGACCCTGAATGGCGACGACGACGACGACGACGACGACGACGACGACGACGACGACGACGACGGCGAGCGCTCTCGGGGGTCTC